TGTGTACATATGTTTCCATTTCTCTTGGGTATATACCTAGAATGGAATTGCAGGGTTATGTGCTCACTCTATGATTGACTTTTTATTTTTTTTAATCGTCACTCAAGGATATGTTTATTGATTTTAGAGAGAGAGGAAGGGGGAGAGAGAGAGAAACATCGATGGTTGCCTCCCTTATGTGCCCCAACCAAGGATTGAATCTGCAACCTAGGTATACGTCCTATCCAGGAATTGAAACCACAGCCTTTTGGTGTATGGACAACACTGCAGCCAATCAAGCCACCTGGCCAGGGCCTCTATGTTTGACTTTCGAGCAACTGCCAGACTCCCTTCCAGAGTGCCTACACTAGCAATGTATGAGGGTTCTGTTTTCCTTCCACAGTAATTTAATAAACAATTGTCTAGCTTCAGAAAAACCTGATGCTATTTTTATGGAAATATCATTATATTTATAAATTAATTTAGGGAGAATGGTCGTTTTTAGGATGTTAAATCTCTTTAAGAACATAATATGCCCTTTTATTTGTTTAATTCTGCTCCTATGAACTTAGGAAGTTTTTGTTTTGTTTTTTAAGTCTAAAACCTATGTGAGAAAAAACATTTTTTGAAATTAATTTATGCTTGAGTATTTTATTTTTTATTACTGTTAATGGGGTATGTGCTTTCATTATTATCTAACCAGGTTTTATTTGTATATATCAAAGCTTATTATTATTATTTTTTAAATATATCTTTATTGATTTCAGAGAGAGGAAGGAAGAGAGAGAGATAGAAACATCAGTGGTGAGAGAGTCATTGACCGGCTGCCTCCTGTGCTATACCCCCTGTTGGGGATCAAGCCCGCAACCCAGACATGTTTCCTGACCGAGAATCGAACCTTGATCTCCTGGATCACAGGTTGATGCTCAACCTCTGAGCTATGCCTGACTGGGCTCAAAGCTTATTTTTGTATGTTGATTTTATAACCTATAAGTTGACTAAGTTCTCTTACTGTTGGTAACTTTTCCATTGCCAATTTAACCATATTGGCTAGTACTTTTGACATCATGTTAAATAGTAGTGGAGATAGTAGGCACCTTTGTCTTGTTCCTCACTTTAGAGAAACTTCTTGTTTCTTTTTTAAGTAAGATTCTGGCTTTTTACCACATTAAGAAATTATCAGTGTTTTATTGTACTTAATTCTTTTTAACTATTAAAAAGAATAGTATAGTAGCCCTTGGTTTAGATGTACCTTTACTTATTTAACCAGGAAAACCCATTAGTTGTAAGAATAGGCTCTGGAGTCAGACTTTTGTGGATTCTAATCCTGGCTTCCATCGCTTCTTATCTGTGTAACCTTCAACAAGAATTTATCATATCTGGGCCTTAGCCTCCCTCCTCTTTAAAAATGATACAGCATTGCTAGGAGAATTAAACACACTAGTCAAATTCCTAAGGAATACCTGGTACAAAGTAAATGGTCCATAAATGTTAGCTCTTAATCCCTTCTCCCAATTTTGTATATTTCAGAGAGTGCTATGACAATATCCTTGATCATACATCATGTGCAATTGTACAAGTGTTCCTTTATCAAAAGCACCTGCAAGTGGAATTGCTGTAGTATAACAATTTAGTAAATAATTATCTTACTGCCCTCCACAAAATGTGAACCAGTTATGTTTCCACCAACATTTTAGGAAAGCCAATGTTTTCTTCAACTCCTGCTAATAGTATATATTATCTTTATTATTTATCATTATGAGAAGAAAATTCATTGGTTAAATTAGCATTTCTTTATTCATAGAGAACATTTTTATAGACTCTTTGATGTCCTTTGTTTATTTTGGTCTTTTTAAAAATTGAATTCTAAAAGCATTTAGTAACTTTTTAGTAAGAGATAACATATTGGATGACACACAACTTTTGACAGTTGTGGGCAGAGGAGAGAATTGTTTTTGATCACATTGAGTAGCATGCTGTACTGGAGATATTGCTGGGGATATGGCCTTTAGGGAGTCATTTAATCTTCGTGGACCTATTTTCTCTTTTGAAAATGAGGGGATTAAAATAAAGAACCCTGCTCCTTTCTACTCTAAACTCTCCATCTCCTTTCTCATGTTTAGGGACTCTATTTTTTTCATATTTTGTCCCTAGCACCAAGCATAGTAAATGCATAGCACATTCAGTAAATGCTGGTGAAATTAAATTGCTATTGTGTTACTTCAGGATTCTCCAGCAAGACACAGCACTGTGCTGGCAGCAGAACAGTGTGCCACAAGTGGGGACACGGCTGAGCAGTGGGCCTGCCTGTAGGGAATGGAGCATGTCGGTGAGGCAGTTGTGAGGTTTGTCTGAGGGGCAAGTTCAGGCAGGTAGTCATCTGCAGTAGTGAGGGTGCCCAGCAGCTGGAAAGTTGGTTTATAGGAAGGAAGGCTTTGGTGTATGGGTGTACATCCATTGGGGCTCAGTAGTTTGGTTGGCTGTTGCTATTTGATCCAAGGTGGTAGGGGTGGATATGAAAACAGACAACAGGCAATATGTCGTGCGTCAGCAGAGGAATTGGGAAATTAGAGTGATTATTGTTATAAAGTTTAGCCAAGACACCTGGTTTGAAATTAGGCTGGGAACTCATGTAAAGGAAAATAAGACAACTAGTTTATTTCTTGGGTTGCATAGGACTCTGCTTCAGTGAGCAAATCTCAGCTGCAGAGCTCATGGAGTATGTTGTTTATGGACTCATGTAGTAAGATACTAAAGCTGTTTAAATATCTCTTTTTTCAATTACAGATTGATCTGGGATGAATGGGGCAGGGATGAATCTACAGGCTCAGCAGTGGGAGCCTGACAGACAGAGGAAATAGAAATAAAGCTGGAGGGCTGATACTCTCGTAGTTTTCCGTCGGGTATCACCATCACTGTCACCCCCCCACCACTCTTAGTTTCATTAAGAAAAAGCGTATCTTGAATGTGCATTTGGTTTTTGATTTAAGATGCTTAAAACTTTCTATCAATTATAGACCTTTTAAAAATCCTCACACTATATCTTGAAAGTAAGCTAAATGGTCTGAGATATAACAGGCAACCACTAATAGGACATATTACAGAACATTGGATTTAGAACACAGGCCTATGAATCCTAACACTGGAAAATTCTAGAATCCATTCTGTTTCTGTAGTTACACACACACGGGAAGTTTCCAATAAAGCCTCTTAATTTCTAGTTCACTGGGTCTTCCTACTTTGTTCTTTTAGCTTACTTCTCACCTAGCAGTTCCATTCATTTCTGAGCAACCCTGTGACCTGTTTTATAAGGACAGTGTTTTTTTATCTCATTCAGGCCACATGTACCTTAGGAAGTCATTAACATTAAAGAAGAAAGAACAGAACATAAGAGATGTAAGCTTCGCTATTGCTGAGATATTTAGATGCTGTGATGGGCTGATTTTAGGATGTGCAGTAGTCTGGTTTCTGACCCCTCACACTGTTAATTTCTATCAGGTTGGTGGGGGTGAGGCAGGGAGGTGTGCCGAGGATGAGCACCTCATGGACAGGCTCTTGTACCATCTCAGCCCTGGCTCCCATGGTCCAGAGGGCTTATGCCAAGAACTAGGACATTACTTACAGAGCTGGCTTCATGAGAAAGAGATGGTACCCAGTGGAGCAACTCAGGCCCTGCTTTTCTCTTTTTCACATTACTTATACATCAGTCACGTCAGTATTTTATGTAATTATTTTGTCATCCATATTCTGCTAGAAAGTGATTGAATAAAAAGCCATTTTTATTCTAGCAATCGAAGCAGTTTTTGGAGAGTATTTAAGTTATTGGGGGGAAATTCCTGGTATTATCTCTTTTATTTGTTTTTGTTTCTGGTGAAGCTTGATAGAGTTCCTTGAATGTGAGTATAGTAAATAATAGCATAAAGACTTAAAAATCTCTTTGGAATAGAAATAATTTGCTTTCATGTAATTTTTCTTAAGTAGTGTGGTGTCCTAAGCATCTCTATATGGGGGAAGGAGTCAACCTATTTTTTATTTTCTTTTATAAAGTTGAGAATTTTTCTTTTGCATTTAATCCTTGAGTTATGAAGTACCTTGCTTTGCTACCCCGACTACCACAGGAGCACAGTGGAGAAATCAGTCATAGTACTGACCAGTATACAGACCCTTCCCTACGCTGAGGATACTTTCTAATGCAGGATTTTGTTGCTGTGCAAAATTTGCTCACACAACACAATAGTATGCTACTCTGATCAGTTTCATTTCATGAGTACCTGTTAATTTTATAATAGTAATATTACAGTAACTAATAACATTTTGATAACAAAGGGGAATAAGGCATGTAGTGTTCTCCACCCCTCCTCTGACAACATACATATTTTTGTAGTGGTTTTTTTTCCAGTTAAGCAGTGGAGAAGATGGAGAACAGAGAGGAAGCTGCACCTCCTGTGAATTCCTCACCAGTTTTCCATTGCATACCTCACAGATAATGACAGTGCAGGGGCTGTGTCCTTTGTCTCTGATATAACAAGTTCATGAAAGCATGTAGGGAGGAGAGTGTGTTTTCACCTTGATGGCTTCAGAGTTTTTCCATAGGAGGAACTGGTGAACAGTAATTTGGTTGGGGTGGGGGTTTGTGGTTGACACACTACCCAAGGTATTGCCATTATGTTAGTGCTGATTTTGCATGTAAAATATGCATACTTTTGCCCAGGTTACTAAATTCAGTAAATAACATATTTCCAGGATGGACACAGTAAGTATTGATTAGCTGATTTCCCCTACCCAGTCTAAAAGCTTCTTTTAATTATATTAAGTTATTTTGGCAAATATGTGAAATAGATTTAAAGGTAGAAAAATTATCCCTTAAGTTACTGAAAATTATATATTAGAAAATGAGATATCTAGTGGATTGAATTGTAATGTTTAAATGCTTTTTAAAAAAATGTCTTCTTTGGTTTTGATCACCATCATAATTTGGCAAATCTTAATATTTCTCATTTATTAATTCTTGTTTCTTCCAGGGCCCACATTATCTTAGTTCCAGAATTTAGTCTTCCTCTGGAATACTACCTAATTCCCTTCCTTATCATAGTGGGCATCTGTCTCATCTTGATAGTCATTTTCATGGTAGGTAAATTTATTTTAAATACTTCAAAAAAAAATAGTATAAATGGCTCTAAAAAACATTGTATTGAGTAAGAGAAGCCTTACCTTAAAAAGTATATATTGTGTGAGTCCATTCATGTAACTGATTCTGGAAAAGAGAAGATAATTTGGGTAGAAAAATCAGAACAGTGATTGCTACTGGGGGGCAAGGGAGGGGATTTACTGGGGCGGGTATGAGGGAGATTTCTGGGGTATGAGTTGTGTTCTGAATCTTGGGATAGGTTTGGGTTGTACTAATGCCTGATTCACCAAATTGTATACTTAAGTTTTGTGCATTTCATTGATGTGTAAATTTTGTCTTTGCATTTAGATTATTCAGATTTCTAATATGGGTCAGTCAGTTTTACATTTGTACATAGATGCAAAAATCCTAAATAAAACATCTGAATGTCTAGATAAGAGAAAGTTTTAGTTTTACGGAACTAGAAGAATCTTGGCATCTGAACTAGACAATCCCTTGAGTGCTGTTAGTAGGAATGTTAAATGGAGCAGCCACTACGGCAGTTCTTCAAAAATTTACACATAATACCGTATGATCCGGCAGTTCCATTTTCGGATAAGTACCCAAAAGAATTGGAAGTAGAGAGTTGAAACTATGTTCATAGCAGCACTATTTGCAGTAGGCAACTCAGTTGTTCATTGATGGGTAAACAAACAAAATGTGGTATATACATACAATGGAATATTATTCAACCTTAAAAAGGAAGGAAGTTCTGACACATGCTACGACAGGGATGAACCTTTGAGGCATTATGCTGAGTGAATAAGCCAGTCACAAAAGGACAGATATTGTATGATTCTATTTATATGTGGTACCTAGAGCAGCAGATTCAGAGACTGAAAGTAGAATGGTAGTTGCTGGGGGCTATAGGAAGAGGATGGGGAATTACTGTTTAATGGGTACAGAGTTTCAGTTTTGCAAGATGAAAATAATTTTATGAATGGATAGTGGTGATGGAAGCACAATAATTTGAGTATACTTAGTGCCCGTAAAATGGATAACATAGTAAATTTTATGTATATTTTACTGTGTTTTAAATAACATAAAAACAATTGGACATAAAACTAGCCCCATAAAATTGAAGTTTACCCTTACTTTCCATTTTCTAAAATAATTTTTTCTGAAATTGGAATTATATGTTACTTCACATTTTGGTGAAGGTTGTCTATAAAATCATCTAGAGCCTACTGACCTTTTTTCATAATTACCTGAACATTCAGATGGTTGTCTGCTTCTTCATCCTAAATTATATTTCTAAGAAATTATCTATTTTGTCTGTTATCACCTATAGGGTCAGAAGTGATTTATAATATTTATATATTCATTAACAACTTAAAGAGAATTTCTACTATATGTGGAATGAGTTCTCTTCATATCCCTCTGTGCCTTGCACAGTGTTGTCAGTTTATCTGTTTTGCCTTTCAAAGAGGTAGACTTTGAGGTGTTGGTTGTTTTTTCCCCTTTCATGCAACAAGTATTTATTTTGCACCTAGGATGAACTAGGCACTAGTCTAGGGTCTGAAGATTCATCATTGAACAAAATAGTTAAAACCCCCTGATGTCAAACAGCTTACATTCCAGTTTTTATTTATCTCTTGAATGTCTGCTGTTAGCATCATTATTTGTTTCTTGTATTCTGTTTAGATATATTGCTTTTCTTTTTCTAGCTTGTTGAGCTGAACACTTATTAAATTATTTTTCTTGCTAATATGTGCATTTAGGTTATAAGTTTCTCTTTTAACAATCATTTTAGCTATAACTCATACATTTTGATAAGGAATATTTTTATTTTTATTGATTTGCTAAAATTTTTTCCGTTGTTTTATATGTTTCTTTATGACTCTTGATGTCTCCATCTATGTGAAGGGGGCCTCAGTGACTATAACTCCTGGCCCTTCTCTACTCTTTCACTCATTTGGTCTTAGGGAAGATGAAATATCTTATCTGTGTACTACATTTGGGAAGAGTAAATTAGGGCATGCTTGACTCAACTCCACCTTTCTCTTGGGACCAGCCTGTCTTCAACTCCACGGGAACTGGTTCTGCAATACTGGGGGAGGGTGAAGGGAAGGCCTGCTTCATTCCAGAGTTGTCTTTGTCTATATCTGGGTGGGTAAGGCAATCTAATTCTGTGGTTCAATAAGAAGTGCTCTCTTCCTCCAATGAGTTAGGCGTTCCCCTTGTCTTCATCTGTCAGTTCATCATCTTATTTCTCAAATTATTTAGAATACAGTTGGCGAACAGGCATGCTGATTTTAAGGACCCCTCAGAAACTCAAATATCCGTTATGACGTCTTCTGTGACTTATGAACTATTTTAAATGTTCAAAATACATATTTATTCCTATATCTCCCCCCGTCCCCCGTCCCCCCCCCAC